TGACCAGTTATCGATAAGGCCAAATGCACCGGAAGTGATAACCATTCTCTGTTATTATTATTCTTATTGCATAAGAAGTATTTACAAATCTTTATAAATCTATTGTTTTTAAAAGCAATCCAGTTCATTTTTATTATTAAACTCGTTTTTATTTCATGAATGAAAACAAATTTATAAATATTTATGAAATTTCATTTTGTAAAATAATAAAATTTACATCCGTGATAACCATGTCAAAACTATATGATATATCAACTTGAATTATTTAAATATATGTTGTAATTGTAATAATTATCAAACTTCACAACAGTGAATTATATAATTGGAAATTAAATAATGCCCTTACTGATATAATTTATCTTAAACCCAGATTAGATATGGTAAACAATGAATAGTTGTTGTAGTAATAGGCTCAGCAGCTACTAAACTAAATACTAAATTACTAATTATTTACCTTTGTATTCTAAATAACCTATCTCTCTTTTTTTTCCTTTTGTATACCCTATTTTTTTTTAAAATGTATATTCCTTTCTTGCCTCTAAACTCTACCGCTTTAGCTCAAAGCTATTATATTTGACTTTTCAGACTTAGCCCAATCTTTACTTTGTATATGAAAAATGTTGTTAAAATTTCTTAAATTCCTCAGCATTTTCTTTCTTTTAAATACACAGCCTTTTTCAGCCATTGCAGCCAATTGATAGACGAGCTGTCTTAAGGACCCATCAAGACTACCAGACTTTTTTACATAAGTAAATTTATATCTGTTAAAGCTCCTTAATGACTTAATGGATATGAAATACAAACTACTTGACTTAATCTGAATAAAAGTAATGTTAGAACATCACAGTATAATATCTATACATACTGGATATACAGCATAAGTAAAATAACCATTGTCTTAATTAATGAATAATTTAATTACAACATTATTAAACTACTGAATTACACAATCTTAAATTAAAGACATATATATATTAAATAAGGTACCTTATGTTAAATTGCTTATTTTGTGTTTAATTAAATCGATTTTCAATCTCTATTTCAGTTTGTCTGGACTACTAGACCACATTGAATTACAAGGAGTTTGTGTTGCGATGAAGCGGAAATAATGCCTCTTCTGCTTAGAGGTATTGACTTCCCAGCTGTGCCAAGTGTTGCTTCAGCAAAACATCTCTAGATACGTCTTTGGAATATTGGTTTCTAATACCAAAATGTGTCTGCACGTACAATTTCACTTAAATTGTTGTACCAGTCTTTCCTGTTTTAACAAAAACCTATCAGTTGTGACTGCATGTCCAACTGGACAATCCACCAGAGCATTATCTTAACAGCTATTGATATTTTTCACCAACTACCGCATTTATATGGCAATTTATACACTCAGGACTCCTATTTATCATCATGATGGGTGGAAGCAACAATATTGACATAAAGTAAACCATTGCGGAAAACCATTCATTACCAATGGTATCTACACTCGGGACTCCATTCATCTGTGTCATAAACTGAATCATTACCAATAACTGTTACAAATTGGACTCGGCCAACACATAACTTGTGACCATCATCTTTCTATGAAAGAAAATATATCTCTTTTATTCAGCTTTTCAATGAACTATAGACAATAGAAGTACTAAAATAATATTAAGTGATCATCATTTGTACTGTGGATTTGAAATAGCATGGCTACTTGGATATCAATTTCATGGATTGGATCATGGATGATTGGATTTTGATATATGTGATCAGCATTTTTTCAATGCTATTTATCCATTATAATACATTATTTTATAAATCTTTTCTGTGGAATTATTCACAGAATTAATATTAATTTACTAGATGATTGTGTGCATTAACACAATAGGTGGAATTGGTAACATTTATGCAATTTGTATTTTTAATGCACAAACAGGCTAAATTTTAGAATTAAATCTACTCACTCTCTGTTGCTCAAATGCCACTGATTTAATTCATTTATTGATATATTAATATTTAAATGGCTTATTATAAAAGCCCAATGCCTAATGAAACTATGCTGAAAATTTGAAGGCTTTAACTTTGCAGGTAAAATAGTTAAGCCATTTTGAGTATTGAGAACGGGCGCTCCATCTGTAATGAAATTTACTTACCTGCTGTTGTTCAAATCCCGCGCATTAATACATTAGTCAAAATATTAATATGAAAATGCCTAATTATACAAGCCCAATACCTACTTAAAATATTCTGACAATTTGAAGGCTTTAACTTTACAGAGAAAATAGTTATGGCATTTTGAGTATTGAGAACGGGCGCTACATTTTTAATGAAATTTACTTACCCTCTGTTGTTCAAATCCAGGGCATTAATACATTAGTCTAAATATTAATAAGAAAGTGGCTTATTATAAAAGCCCAATACCTACTTAAATTATGCTGAAAATATGAAGACTTTAACTTTACAGATAAAAAAGTTATGGCATTTTGAGTATTGAGAACAGGCGCTATGTTTTTAATGAAATTTACGTACCCTCTGTTCGTCAAATCGCACACATTAATATGTTTATTGTATTATTTGCATAACAATGATTTATTATTAAAGCCAAAAACTTAATTGAAATGCGTTGCAAGTTTCAAAGCTTTAACTTTGCTGAATAAAAAGTTATCGCATTTTGAGTGTCAAAGATGTCTTTTTTCGGTCACAGAATTTTGGAAAATATTTACTAAGGCTATATAAGGAAAAATTCTGACACTAAAAATGCGATAACTTTTGTTCTACTTAAGATAGAAAGATAAAATAGGTATCAATGGAAAGGAAATACTGAGTCCTTTCTAATGATATAAGTTTCATTAATATATAACAACTTTGAATATTTTAGTGTAGTACCTAATTAGAGCAAAATTGAAAAGAAAGTGCTGGATTTTTTCTTGGCCGACGCTCAAGTGGTAGATTACCTATAGAACTATATTTAAAAGGCCGGCACTACGTACACTGCGGCGGTGTACCTAGCGAAACTGTTGACTTTGGCCTGCGTACACTGCGGCGGTGTACCTAGCTAAATCATGGTCTGTGGCCTGCGTACACCGCAGCGATTTTAAGTAGCAAAAATATGGTCTTTGCGAGTCTTTAACTTTTTGGCCTAACTGGTATTTGTAGATTTAATGTTATACTCAGTTAAAACTGAAAACTATTCATTTAAAATTCGTTTACCACCTTGGGAAGATATTGAGTAAGTTCCACGCTTTGGGGCAAAGTACTTGTAAAGCATTTCTTATTATTTTTTGGAAGGGAGGGGGCTGGGGGTGTACTGTTAAAAAGTTAAACAATGATTTATTTTTAAAGTTAACCACTTTATTCCCCCCTCCCCCAATATCTTGAAATACAAATATATTTATTAATTGTAAGTTTTATCATATGATTGTGAATCTTAATTTGAAATTATTCTCTCATGCCCACCCCCACCCAGTTGTTAGTTGTTTTGTTTTGGGTTTGTTTTTTT